ACTTTTTCATTGGAACTATTAATAAACCATCCACATAATCTTATTGATTATAACCAATAGAATAACGATTTATTTGACTGTAGCGCTTAACTATAATTCATATATATATATATCTCATTTCGAGATTTTATATTTTTAATTTTGTTTTGTTGTGAATTCTAAAAGAAAATTTTTTAGTAATGAACTCATCAGGATTAACTAAAGATCTTCGTATTTGTGATGATTATCTTCAATTTCAAAATCATTTAAAAGATTTAAGAAAATTAGATGATTTAATAATAAGTACACTTAATACAACTGTTCTTACAGCTACATTTCGATCTCAAGGTTCTGATGCAGCAAAACAATGCCAACAACTTGGTGATCAAGTATATTTATTTAGTTTAATTTTATTAATAAGTGTCAAATTATTATTTAGATTGCTTCACGTACAAATTATCGTAGTGAATTGATTTCTTCATGTTTATCACATACAAATGATTTAATGGCACAAAATGAGACAAATGATAATCGTCGTAAAGCATTAATTTTTCAACGACGACAATTACAAAACGAACGAAATGTTGAAGAAATTGTTCGAACAAATACTGAAAAAGTAATAAAAATAGAAATAAATTTATCTAAAGTATTTATTTTTATTATTTGTAGGCATTTTATGAACGTTGTCGAGATTATTATACACCTGCGAAATTTTGATCAACATTATCATAAACGAAATGATTCTTTTTTTTAAAACCTATCAAACAAAGAGAACCTTCGTGTGTTTTTAGGCTAATTGCCAATCCAGTGACGATGTTACTAGTATAGTTAAAGATTTGTTTGTTTTTGTTTTCTATTCTGTTTTTTTCCCATAACTGATCTTTTTGTGCTTTCATATTGGAATGGATATGATCCTCTTTTTCTATTTCACTTATAGGTAAAAAAAAATATTCTAACATATTATTAAAAAGAATCAAACTATTTTTCACTAATTTGCTGATCGAGAATTAATTCTGAGAGGATTACATAGTCAATTAACAGTATGAAATATTAGCTTAATTATTTATTTTCTAGATTAGTAAGCTATTCAAACTGCCGCCAGAACTTTTACTTCTTATACCACTTCTCATGAGCCTTTTGTGGACGTATCATCAACAAGGTTCTCATTTGCTTCTCCAATCTTCTCTTTCAAATATTCTCCGATCAATAGTAACAACTAGTATTCATACTAGAGCTCGTCAATCACCATATGTCGGAACAAAAGATGTTCAAGTAAGATTATATTTTAGTAAAATATGAAGTAAAATGGAATCTTATATATATATTAGAGAACAGCAGTACCAGATAGTAAAGTTTCATGGAAGGTGAATTGGCCTGGTTATAAAGCAACAGAATATACAGCATCGAAAGTTTTGAAAAATCCACCATGGGCTGATGATCCAGATGCGTACGATTATTAAAAAAAACACTTTCACGATCTTTATATATTTGTCTGTATAGAAAAAAAATCAAAGGTTTTAATGAATTTGATGGAAAAATTGATCGACGAAGTTTCATGGGTGAATATGAAATCGATGATAAAACAAATCGACCAAGAAATCCTGCAGGTCGTACTGGATGTATGGATTGATGTTTGTTTATATATATGCATTATAAATAGAATAATTTCATTTTTAGTGTCAGGCCGTGGTTTACTTGGTCATTGGGGACCAAATCATGCTGCCGATCCAGTTATCACACGTTGGGCTAAGAATCAACCAAATTTCAAGGGAAAAGTTTTAGAAATTGTACTCATCAATCGGAAAGATAATAATCATTTAGCTTTACCTGGTGGTATGATTGATGAAGGGTAATTATTTATTATTCATTCATATAATTAATTAATAACATTTCTATTTAGTGAAAATGCATTCGTAGCAGCTAAACGTGAGTTTCTCGAAGAAGCTATGAACTCGAACGATGATGCTGTTGTTGAACAGATTGATAAATTATTTGAAAATGCTGATTCAGTAAATAGAATTTATCTTTTGAATATGAATTCTAAGAAAAATTCATTTCTTTCGAATAGATCTATAAAGATTATGTTGATGATCCAAGAAATACAGGTTAAAATTTTAATATAAAATAGAAGAAAATTTTAATTTTCTTTTTTTTATTATAGATAATGCTTGGATGGAATCAGAAGCAATAGATGCACATGATGAAACGGGTGAATTAACAAAGGATTTAAAATTAGAAGCTGGTAATTATACTATATTTCATCTTTTCTTTATCATATCATTATTCAAAAAAAATGATTCTGTAGATGTTTCTGTTACATAAGCATTCATATTCATTGATTTATTGTTAGAATGAGATGATGTTGGTAGTGGTTGTTGAGCTTTGACATATTGTACCATTTCACGATATAAATCAGATCGACCAACTTGACTGATTAGATAAACAATATCATCAAGTGTCATTTGATATCGACGTGGAGGTATATAAGATTTTGTTTGACATGGAATAGATGATGAATATGAAGGAATAAATGTTTGTTGATGCGGTGAAAAATTTGTTTTAAAATTTGGATCTTTTAAATAATCATCTAGTAAAAGTTCCCATGATGTACGTGGTGGCGGTGGTTTAATAAGAGATTTCGTTTGAGATACATTTTGTTTTATTGTATTTTCTACCAACTTTTTGTTCGTTTTCTTTTTAATCGTATTATCATATTTAGACGTTTTTAAAAAATTAGAATAGTAAAACTATATTGATAAAAATTAAAATTGCGCGTTTTTGTTTTTTTCTCTTATAGGCGATGATGCAGCAAAAGTAAAATGGGTTCAACTTGATCGTGTGCGTAATTTATATGCATCACATGAATCTATGGTTCGAATAGCTGTTAAAAAACATGGTGCATATGAATATTGGCATGATAACCAACATTCAAGTGAAACAACTGATGATACTAATAATAAATAAACTGATAATTTTTTTTGTTTTTTTTATAACGAACGAAAACAATTGTATTTAAATAAATTTCATCTCGAGAGTGTGGATGTGGGATGAGTGCTAGTTCTATATTAAACATCCACACTCACCTTAATTAGAGTTGTTCAACCGACAATTAATACGAGCATAGTTGTGGTTATCAGGATATTAGTGATTAGAAATAAGAGTATCGTGAAAGACGAACATGAATAACATTTTGTCTTGAGTCTATGATTTAGTCTAGAAGTTCTACTTTGAAAAAGATGAATACTTAGTATCAGTATTTCATTTTCATTCTACTAATAGAAATTATTCGAAAAACTGCAACTACTATTGATATTGATGATATACATTTGTATATATCGATTGAATATTAAACAAGCACACAATTAGTTTTTCTTATTCTGTAGATATTAAAAAAGCAATATCCTTTATTCAACAGCTATTGATTTATGAGTATGCACTTCTAACTTAGATGTTCAATTACTGAGATACAATCGTCAACAGTCATCTGTGATTTTATTTGAACTTCTAACATAAAACAAAAAAGATTTTTTTCATTTACACCAATGAAAAATGTTTTATCAATTTGAGTGCCGGATTAACTATGCGGCAAGCTGTCGTGCGCGACGGAAGAGCTCTTCACGTTCTTGTTCAGCCATCCAACGACCAAAAAACCAATCCTAAACGTCAGTAGCAAATAAAATTTATGGATTAAACATTAACTAAAAAAAATCTACTAACTTCTAAATCGAGGAAAAAGTAAAAACTATTAATATTCCATTCTATACATATCAGTTGAAGTTGGTGAGGACGTGGTACTTTTTCAATCATATAATCTGAATTATTCAATTGCATGTTTAAGAAAAAAAAACCTTTATAACTTAACAAATATACTCACATGCATTCAAGTATTCAAGTTGTTCATTGGTTAATTTTTCTTCAACTTTTTTCAATTCTAAATGAAATGAAAGTCTTAGATTTATCTCTAATCGCTATCATACATTTCTATCCAAATGATTACTAATTGAGAAATATTTTCTAAATTGATCGATTTTTAAAAAGAGTTCTTCCTGAATTCGTATCATTGCTAAGATAGAATCAGTACAAGTTGTTTAAATATTAATGAACACAAGTTGAAGAAAATATATTCATCTGTATTTTTTTGTACATACATCAATATAATTCGAATCTGTAATCAGTTTCCTTTCGTAACTTGTCATGCATAGAAAATATTTATCAATCAATTTGTGAATATATTTATTGAATTTTCTGTTGAGAAAATAATGGGAAGGAAAAATGAAATATATCTTCTATTTACAATAAGCTAGGCAAAATGAGCAACGAACTTTTCCGTTTTAAATAACTTACTTGAAGCACATCGAGCATAGAAATCCCGGCCCCAACCTGTCTCACCCATTTACACAATGACGAAGAATAACAATATTGAACGAATGATTTGAACATTTTCATTGAGAGTTATTATATGAATTTTTCTACGTCGAGCATGTATAAAGAAAAACATATATCGTCAAAGACGTACATGCCGGTCATTGTTACACTAAACGACTAAAGCAGACGAGCATATTCTTTTTCTAGACGAAAAGAAAAAAGTCGAACAAAAGAAAACTTCTATTACTTTTATCTGTCATATTGAACCTACTATAGATTATGATAAAATCTCCAGGCATTTTTAACGTTGGGTTCACATAAGATTTTTCTTCATTTTTTGTGATATCTTTGACCAAAAAGTAAAAAAAGAGATAGCTATCTCTTCTTTATCATCACATACCATATGATGCGTTATAGTGATTGCCCGGAAATTGTGTGTATCTTGGATATTAAATAAATTTCCGGAAATCCAAAAACTATACTCCAAGCAGTCCTAAAACTCGAAGTAGTCGTCGTAGCCGTAATCCATAATTTCCATCATGGAGATTATGTCCATTACGGACTTTATTTTTAGTTTCCGTAATGACCGTAATGGACGTAATGGAGATTATGTCCATTATGGACTTTATTTTTAGTTTCCGTAATGGCCGTAATGGACGTAATGGCCGTAATGGACGTAATGGCCGTAATGGCCGTAATGGACGTAATGGCCGTAATGGGTGGGTGTGGGTGTGATCGGAGAGGTGAAGGGGGTATAGCATAGTGTGGGTGCCCGGGAAGGTGTGACCGGAGAGGGGGAGGGGGGTATAGCATAGTGTGGGTGCCGGGGAAGGTGTGACCGGAGAGGGGGAAGGGGGTATAGCATAGTGTGGGTGCCGGGGAAGGTGTGACCGGAGTGGGGGAGGGGGGTATAGCATAGTGTGGGTGCCGGGGAAGGTGTGACTGGAGAGGGGGAGGGGGGTTTAGCATAGTGTGGGTGCCGGGAAGGTGTGACCGGAGAGGGGGAGGGGGGTATAACATAGTGTGGGTACGGGGAATAGGTGTAGTTCAGTTCGGGTGTGTGGTGGGTGGGTTTCTGATGATTATTTAAATTCTCATCTGTTATCTGGTTCACATCTACAGCCACACGGTGATTACGGTCATTACGGAAAGTAAAAATAAAGTCCATAATGGACATAATCTCCATTACGTCCGTTACGTCCATTACGGAAACTAAAAATAAAGTCCATAATGGACATAAT